GTATTTGTATATTTTCTTCCCATCTTTTTAATTTTCTAGGCATAAAAAAGTTTAGTTTTCTACTAGTGCTACTATAATAACAATGTGAACATAATAATCGCTTATAATTAAAATAATTTCTATTATAAAAAAATAAACTATCGCGACTTCGTAAATATATGTATAAGTGCACTGTTGGGATTTTGGTGTTCTTCAGAAAAAAATTCATTAGTCTTTTAGCGAAAGTTTTTTAGTTAAAATAATGCAGCGATCGCATCATAAGCATCATTGGCTAATTCGATGCCAAAGAAACAGGCAGCATTTGCTGGGAAGGCACGCAACATAATCGGTGTAACACCACGATACAGCGCCAAAGGACCATCCGTACGCATAAGATCCTTGAAAACGCTACGCACACCTTTTGGATATGTGCCGGCAGGTGCTGGAAGAGAGGAGAAAAAATTAAGTGGTAATGCAAGCATAAATATTTTGAAGGTATGTAATTATATATTAATTAGTTTTCGGATTTGTATAAACAATAAAAACATAAATGAATAAAATAATACAAAATATAATAAAATAAATTTAAATATAAAATAATTAAATTAAATAAAACATATAAATTAAAACAAAATAAAATGAAATAATTTAAACAAAAAATAACAAAAATTAAATTAAATAAATTAAATATAAAATGAGGTAAAACGACTAAAATTGAATATTAAAAAAATAAATAAATAAAATTTAAAAAAGTTACAAAATCAGATAAAATGAATACAAATAAAATAAATTAAAAATTTTTGTAAATAAAAAATAAAAGAAATACAAACCACAATATATTCAATAGTAGATTAAAAAGTACATACTAAATAAAAAAGATAAAATGAATGAAAATTAAACAAAAAAATAAAACTAGAAAAAATAATATGAAGTAAAATAAACAAAAATTGAAAAAAATATCAAAGATAAGATAAAATGATTAGAATAAAATAAAATAAACGAAAAACAATATAAATGAAAATATGAAAAAATTATATAATGCTAAATAAAACTAAATGTATGTAAATTAAATATAAAATAAAATAATGTAAAAAAAAATATTTTTTTAAAAACAAGCTTTTATTTAACCTGTACAATCAAAGGAATAAAATGAAGTAGTGTAACAAAAGATTTTTTAGCAAGAAAATTTTGTCAAAACTGCACTAAAATGAATAAAATAAAATAACTTAAGGTCTCGTTAAAGTTACTAAAAGCCATTTAGTGAAAGGAGTTATTCAAACTCTAATGAAAATTACTAACAATTTGTACTAATTTACTTCGTTTTTAAAAAAGCTTGTCGGCGAATTCAGCGTACATGCATAATTGGTTAGGTATGTGTGTATATGTATGTATGCAGATATTTAAATGCAGGTTTGCTATTCGAGCGGCAAACTTTTTTAAAAACGAAGTAAATTAGTACAAATTGTTAGTAATACATGAAAAATAAAAATAAAAAATTATATTGAATCAATAAATTAAAATGAAATTAAATAAGATGAAATAAAATAAACAACAAAATTTGAAAAAATTTAAAGATCAGAAATAATTAGAAAAATTAAAAAAATTGATATTTAAATAAAAAAAAAAAATTAAATTAAATTAAAAAATAAGCTAAAATAGAACAAAAAATAAATGAAATAAAATAAAATTAACAAAAAATACGAAGTAAAGAAATAAAATACAATTAGAACATTAAAAGTAAAATAAATAAACAAAATAAAATAGTAAAATTAAAAAATAAGTTAAAATTTATAAAAAATTTAATTAAAAATACCCAATTAAATTAAATTAAAAATACCCAATTAAAAACCACTTAATTAAAATAAAAAAATTACAAAAACAACTAAATTGTATTGTATGCTTCAAAATGAGATTCCTCTGTATAGATCCACATTTTAATAATACATATCGTTACCTTAATATTAAGGTAAAGGCCCTAACTCATATAGTCGCTGCAATGCAAAAAAACCCGTAACCGTAATTTCTCTGCCTTTCTATATTAAGGTAACGATATGTAAGTATGTATATATGTACGTACATATGTACATATCGTCGTTTAAAGTACAAAACCGCGTCTCGTCATTCTGCAAAACTGCGTAACTGAATTTTTTTTTCAAAAATTGGATTTACTCACACAAGCTCTTGGCTCAATCCTTATCCATTCGTCCTGAAATATACTAGCCAGAAATGCGATTTCTTTACAAAAAAAAAAAACATTTTGAAATATGAGTGTTTTTACTATCTAGAAAATAATTTATGCAACCTTATACATGCGGCTTTTCATTTTGTTGATACGCGGTTTTGTACTTTAAACGACGATATGTATGTATCTATAGTAAAAAAAAACAAAATTAATCAATTTTTTACATACCCGTTTGTAGCCTGCTCTTAAGCACATCGGCTGGCATACCGACCAACCAATAAGCTATACCAGCGGCGCCACCAGCAAAAATCGTTGACGCAACGCTGACCTTTTCGCTGCCAGTCTGCTCTTTGGCCTTATCTTGTATATACTCGTATGCGAGAAAATAAAAGGCATTTGCGGGCAAATCTAAAGTGGAGGCACATAAGGAAATAGATATGGATTTAAAATATTTTTTGAAATCAAAGCTAAAACCAATGCAACACATACTTCGAGACACACTTACATAAGAAAGTCGACTTGAACTCTCCATACAAAAATAAATAAATTGCACTTTCACACAAATGAATTGAAATTTGGTTAGTAATTGTTTAAAATGGTTAATGAGGATGAAAAGAGAGCAGTATTTTAATGTTTTTTCCTCAATTTTTATTAATTGTAAATACACACTCAAGCACTTAAAACACAAAATACAGTAACTTAAAAAGCTATGCAGTAAAATTTTAGTTTAATTAATGGTTAATGGCGCACATACATATGCATGGCAAAAAAATAATATGGAAAAATATTTATTTGAGAGAGGAATGTAGGCAATGTTTTCTGAATTGGAACTCAATGCGATAAGCTACATCCTTTCTGTACGTCACTTCCTCCATGCTGATGCTGCTGTTTTGTTGTTTGTGCACGCATAGTATGTGCATACATAAGTTTGTACGTATATAAGTGTACATATATGGAAATTGTGACTTTATCAATATACATATAGTATAAAACATAATTTTTATCGAAATAATTATACAAACGTTGTAGAGTGTTCTGTAGTAGCAAAACGACACTCGAACCCAGTGAGCATCCAACCGTATGGACGGCAAGCCACGCGACAGTAAGAAAAAGCTACTAGCGCCAGTAAATTATACTGATATTACATGAAAAAACAAAAATACTAAAAATAAAAACAAATCGTTCAGTGCTAAAAAGCAAAATATTGTTTAATAATACTTGGCAAATCTGCGCAGCGGCAACATAAAACGTGAGAACACCGCGCTATAAAGATGAAATATATTATTGTGGCGCTAGTGCTGGTGCTGATAGTAAGTACAATATGCGAAAAAATTGCTAATTCATGCCAGCAAAATGAGCGAAAAATAAAAATGTGGAATTTTTTTTTT